ATATATATATATATACACATGTACATGCATATGATCTTTTTCCTATTTTTGTAATTGTGATAACATAAGATGAAATTTATATCAATATAATTGCTACACCATTTACTATGGACAAATATTCTTTGTCCCTCACACCAGTCTTACATGAGTTAATTAAGTCACTTTATACGTGCTTGTAGATGGAATAGAAATATACAGCTGGTTTAACAAATGTAGTTTTAATAACATTATATATATACTCCTATAATATTCCATGTCTTGAAAGAAATGTCAAAATAAAAATCTTTACATTTAAAAAAGAACAAAATTATCAGATAGAATGTAGTATACACCTTGCTGTTTTACAAAGGTTAAAATATTTTATGTTTGTTGTTACAGTCTGGACCATTTGGCAGTTATTTTTTATCTTTGCACTGAATTGGACTATACTACCATGCACACCAAAGAATGAAAATTATGTACATATTCCTATCACTATGTGTTTTTAGCAAAAGTAAAATAATGTTTAACATGTTAAAATAATTAGTTTGGGCATTTCATTATTAGATACTCATTCAGCCCTTTACATGTTAGTCAAACAATCACTATTACAACATACGTACTTCAGACACTAAACAACTAATTATGTATTCAAGGTTGAGGAAATAGCTACTATAGCTTTGTCAAATTTATCTGGCTTTTCTGGCAAGTTGATAAAGGGTTGATGAACATGAAAGAACGTTTAAATTAATAGACCAAGGTATAAGTACTTAATCTACTGGCATTATAAAATTTATGGAAAAATACTTTTATGAAAGGATTGTAGTTTTCTAACTTTTCCAAAATTCTCAATTCCATTATTAATGTTTCAAGGACTCTTCAGATCTGGAAATTGAGTTTGCAAACATCCAGATATTTCTAGGTCATAAAGAACCTATTATAACATAAGGAAAAGCCTATATTTTTTTTCCATAGAATAGCAAAGAGATATCAAGCTATTATACTCAGAGTCTGACAAACACAAAAAACCATGTGTTGTTACATTCCACATCACCATGTCCAATCAAAGAGATATCAAACTATAATACTCAGAGGCTGACAAACACAAGAAACCACATGTTGTTACATTCCACATCACCATGTCCAATCATGCTTTACCTGATGGTAAAGACTGAAATGTACACTTTAAGGTTAGTTGGTAAAACAGCAAACATTTAAAGTTCAAATACTGAGATAACGAGAATAACATAAAGCACAATAATTAGGTTATGAACTAAAACATTTAATAAAGAAAAATACAAGGGAAACTAAAGAGTAAAGGATTTTTAATGAATATGAATCACAAAAGGAATTTGAATTAAAAAATTTAATAATATATTAGAAACATACAGTTCTTACTTGTTAATGAATGGATTGTTCCGCGTTTTTCTAATCTTTTTTCAAAATCTATATTTGCTGGTGTTACATCTTGTCCGGCTTTGTCTGGAGAAAGTTCCAGAATTTGTAGTCTGCTGTTATTCCAGTCATTTTCGTCATCTTCATCGCTGAACCCTATCTCATGTTCTGCAGAAAGTTGCTTCTGAAGCTTTGTTTTCCGACGTGGTCGAGGATACTGATATGCCACTGATCGAGGATCCTCAACTATAAACAGAAATAAAATACATCAGTAACTGGTTTGGAACATTCTAACACCATATTTCTTAAGTAGGTTATATCTTTAAAATCACAAAAGTTTAGTGAAAAGAAAAACCACAAGGTTGTAATTACGCAAATGAGATATACAACAGCCATACTAGAGTTTGAAAAACAGACACTTTTATAGCGAAATGTAAAATTTGTGGATGTAAATATAGCAGCAATTTTACAAAAATCAGAATTATTACCATCATTCACATATCCTAAAAAAATATCAGAAAGCATCAATATAATATTTTTGTTCTGAAAAAATTATCTTTCACATTGATTTATTTAACGTTATCTTTATTGATGAAAACTATTATATAAATGATGTCTTTTTACCAAATCCTCAATACATTTTCAACTTTTTTTTTCCACCTGACTATATTTTTTCAAAAATGTAATTCCGAAGCAGAACAAACCATGGTGCCAAAATCACAAGGTGTTCATTGTAAACATATTAAGGTTTTTATCGATAAAATATGAATGTGAGATGAGCTACAATTAACAAATTGGACTGTCACTTATCATACTGATAACCAAAGCCTGAGGTATCCACATGTAAAACAAATACATCAACAAATGTAAGGATTAAACTTTGTTGGTTCAATATCTGAATGTCATATCAGTTGTTGTATCAGACCTGACATTGTTCAGGTTTTGATTATGATATTTTAAATTCAATACTTCACCACTGGATTATTTCATTATACTAAATTGTTTTTATCAAGTAATTAACTAAACCATCATGATTTATAAAAACATATTTCCACTTCTTCTTATAACTATCATAAATTAACATCATTTTCATTTGTAATCTAGCTATAAAAGGTACTGAAACTTTCATTCAGATCATACTTCAGACTGTGATACTACAGAAAACGATCTTGAAGCAAGGACATTCCAATTCAATGATAGACAATAAAATGCTAAATTTATTAATAAAAGTATATTTGATCAAATCTAAGATTAAATATAATTATTTAGAAAATTATTATCAGATAAAATAATACACAATCATCGACTAAGACACAGAAAAGCAGCATAGTTTGTAAAAAATGTTCCAAATATGAGATGAAAAAAGGGGGATTTGCACAATTGTTCCCAACTTTTCCAGATTTTTAAAGTTTTATCTGATTTCTAGATTTCTTTTGATATTTCCAAACTTCTCCAGGTTTTCTTCATGGCCATCCTGAAATCCCACACTGGTTCTTACTGTTAAACATCTGTCAACCAGTGATATATTGGAAGCTTCAATAGGTATTTAAAACTCAGTTATACACAGAATCCATAATGTCTAAAAGCAGTTTAATTTTTAATCTTGCACATGAGTCCCCCCCCCCCTATAAAAAAAAGACTTTTAGAATTCAAAGAGTCAGTGACTTCCTGACTCTTACCTTCCTCTGGGGAGCTAACTTGTTGATACATGGCACACCTGGATCGCAAAACATCTGATTCAACCCCTGGTTGTTCCATCTGGAAATTTAATGGAATATTTTTGTATTTAGTACACTATGCAATAGAAAACTTGAGTTTTTTTTAAAGAAATAGCTAATCAGTCAAGAATGAATTATATAGCTTAATATATTGTCTTTCAGCTTTATTACAATGTAATTACGTGACTGTAAAATTGAATCATCTACAAGTTACAATTTCTTCTGCTTACATGTTAACTGATACTTGCCTAGCTGACTAACTTAATTCCAGCATTGTTTCAACAAAACTTTTTCCTATATTTAAATATTTTTATGATGTTTATAAATATTAAGCTTCTACTGGATTCTTTATGAATTAATAGGTAGATGATTTGCAGACTTTTCAAAAAATAAATGTAGCAGTTTATTACAAAAATGAAAAACTATTTAATAGTTCCTCAAGCCAATTAAATTATGGACTAAAGTTCCATTTGTGAATTTTAAAAACATATAAACTGTACCAATATAGTAATAAATCTAAACCAGGCCTAATCTGGCTATTACAGATAACACCAAGAGCCGAGATTATTTTATGTAGTAACTTGCTAACAGTTTTTTGATAAATCATTTAGGGAGAGTATTCATGATGAGTACACTGGAATGGGTGGCAACTGCCTGTTGTATAAAACACAGAAGTGTAGAGGACAATCTTTCAAAAGTCTTCCGTCTTTCAAAACGTCATCCTCTACACTTGTGTTTTCTACAACAGGCAGTTGCTACCCATTCTAGTGTACTAATTGCTAACAGTTTCTGAAACACTATACATACTGACTAGCTAATTTTCAAAGAAATTTCTAACTTTTTAGATCTTCCTTTGCTATACTTCCAGGTTTACTAGTATTGTCCAATAAGTTCTATACTAGAAAACGATAGTACACTTAAATTTAATAAAAATATGTATATACCACAACACAAAGTTATTTTAACCAATTTTGTAACATGGACTTGCTTTTTGTTTAATTGAATCCCCCTTTATACTTTATGTATACAATGAGCTAAAGAACCAGGTTAGTAAGTGTCTGTGACTTGTTGGCAAAAAATTTCAAAAATAAACAACACACAGTCCACTTATTTTTAAGATTATATATATTAAAACAAGTCAAACGTATATACAAATATTTTTACACTGATGGTTATCACAATTGTATCTATAGAGTGTTAAATAATCATGTTTTTTTCAAAGTCCACATAGCTGGTTCAGTTACTTTAGAACACAGATTGACAATATGAATTATTCATCTCTACTCTGTTATTACAATACAATCTGAGATAAGTTCACTTTAAAAATCACCACTATACATTCTTTATGGCTAAATTTACAATCATACAGCCTAGATCTATCTTTCCAACTACATTTTTTTGCACGTATTTATACCCTGACAGAAGTCTAGAACATTACACACACACACTACTAGATATTATGATGCAATAATACTCAATTAAAACTACAAGAAAAACTAAGAATGTTCTAGTAATGTGATTAAATAATATAACAATCACCAATTAATAACTACTGAATTACACAATGTATGATTTGTAAACAGTTACATAAACAAACCTGTGACAAACTACTGCTTCTAAAAATAATTAAATTTACCATGCATGCTGTATAACCTATATAAGTCATAACACTTGCATTAAACTTAAACTGAAACAGTCGCGTACATCTAACAACTACATGAGAGGGAAAGCAACCAGTCAGCAGCAACTGCTACCCGAAGTAGTTACTCTTAGCCAAATAGTGGAATTTACTGCGACTATTTTAACATATCTAAAATTGAAAGTGTGAAGAAAATTTGGTAGCACATTTCTTGACCCTCAGAACCTTGGATCCAATCCCTAGTCTAATAAGCTAATCAACAGGCTATGCTCAGGCCTAATAAGTTCTTACAAAGGTGTTTAATGGATTTCAAGAATATTTGCAATCATATCTTTCAATACTATCATAAATGATTGACACATTTATAATATTCATATACCACTGTCAGTACACAGTATATGATATATGCACCAAATGAGTGACAGATAAATATACATAGAAAAATGATTACTTACATCTCTCAAAATAAAGGTTATTTCTAGATTGTTGGAGAAACTGTCACAGAATTCTGGAAACATCTGTAGAATATCTAATAAATCATCCCGCATAATCTTATGAAGATCACAATACGTCAAGGCACGTACATTGCAACTTGACTTGCCAACAGTTGAATAAGCACATGGGTTCTCTCCAAAAATATCATCTTTCCCTGCAGATTAAAATGGAACCAAAAAAAATGTTTAAGAAATAGTGATGCCTTTTTATAATTATATTTCACTGGTCTCTGTACAAGATTCATCTTTGTTTAACATAGGAAATAAGTACAAATAAAAATTATTTAATAAAAAAAATGGGCTTACACGAAGTTCATAAATTGCATACATTTTTTTACTGAAACTAGCTTTTTACACTTGTAGGAGTCATTATCAGCCTTAGTTAACAATGATGAAATATGTATAAACCATAGAAAACAATAGTGAATATGTCTGAAAAGAGCATTGTAGAGCAATGCTATTGTAACAATTGAAACAGAAATACATAAAAACTGAAATTTATTATATCTGTGAGAAAAAAATAAAGGACAAAAATTAATAATTTGCCAGAGAAAAAAATTTATATGAAATGATCAAGGCATACAGCAATCTTTGAATAAATTTTGTTGTGTCAAATATCCATATATTGTCAACAAAAACTGATTTATTCACAAACAGACAGTGTCATATGATAATTATAGCTGCATCGTAGTGATTATCTAGAAATGATATCATAATAAATGGAAAGAAATTCATCTCTTTTTTTTTATATTCTAGGTAAAAAATAAATTTTACACAAAATTTGTGCTTTCAATTGCTCAAAACTTATTTGATTTAATGGTAATAAAATTAAAATAAATTTTAAACAAACATATTGTTACTTATCTGCTTGTTTGTTAATTTCTGATATCAATTCTTTCCAAGGAACTTCAGTGATACAAGGCCTTTCTTAATTAAAAATAGTTTATTCTTTCTTGATACAACTTTTTGAATACACAGAATTTCCACAGTCACTTTAAACTTAACAACCTTTATAACACATGCTATAAATCACAGTGATTCACACACTTTACTTATGGTGCCTACTGTTCGCTTGACTCAATTATCTATCTCTGCTGGCTTTATTTGCCGGGCTTATCTACTAAAAATGAGGGTGCCTGGCAAACACTCGTACATTTGAGGGATTCCTCGATAAGTCATGATCCTTCAAGAAACTCCATGGCATCACGTGACTTCCACTGTCGTAACAATATACTCATCCACCTAAAACTTACAAGACACAAAATTTGTTTTATGTGACATGAGAATATTGAAGGTGAAGAGGAATATCTTTCATATTCAACAACTTGCATCCACACAAAATCACACAATGATAATTATCATGTTACCAATAAAGAAGAGTCGCCTCCTTTAAAAAGAGTAACCTCCATCAATACTGGAGGAGCTGAAGGCTCAGCTGAAACCACTGACTTGATGTCTAAGCCCCAAGGCCAATAGGTGAGACCATTGGTGATCTTTGAGAGAACATGCATGTTGGAGGCTTTAGGCAGCAAGAGGTCTCTTTTTGCTGGCTTCTCGTCATTAATAGTTAACCTCATAGTTGCTGGAACCCTGAGGTACATCACTCTTTGATCAAAATATAACTTTCCATTGCACCCATAGAAAGTTGGAGGATTCAGCTCACAACAGAAAAGAATATCATTGACTAGTTGGAGAACAAGATTGCCAGAAGTATCAAGAATTTGATTTTACATAGAAAATATGTTGATTGAAAATGCAATGAATTCCAACTGATCACAAGGTCAGCTAATAGGTTGAAAGGGGTTCTATTCACCTGGTTATGACCATTACTTCCCTCTAAAACTACCTAAGTTCAAAAGCTGAGTAATAAGGTTACCTTGGTCGAGCAACATTTTTACAAAGTTTGCATGTATTCATGCTCTAATCTCGTACAGAACATGTGTCCCTAGTGCCCATGAACTGACTCAGTCCACAAGCCTCATTAGGTTCATTTCACCAATACCCAGAGTTGCACAATATATGGCTCACGGACCAAATTTGGTCTGGCAGCTCATTTTGTATGGCCTGTGACACTAATTTATAGTGTGCAAAGTTGAAAGTTTTTTTTTAAAATTTGATGGAAATATTTTTATCTGTTATTAAATTTATGAGTTTCTGCATCACAATTTAATAGAAATTTTGTTAAATAGTCTATAGAGTTAGTAGAAAATGCAAAGGGCTCAAAAGGTTTTCAGAGGAAGAAATATTATGTCCCACCAAATCTCAATCACATCCAAAATTGGCCCTGACAAAAAATTGAGTAGTACACCCCTGTCAATATACCCTTTTAGCTTTGCTGCTCTCTGTGTGACAGTTGTCAGTATATTACTTTAAAACTAGATCCTACACATATATGCTGATTCAGATTAGGCAACTTTAACCTTTAGGTTTCACTGTTAGGATCTACTAATACTTTCATTTTCTTTTCTTTGGGAACTTTCTTCAGATACAATTGTAGTACTAGCTATGGTGTAATTTACAACGTTTCTCTATATGGATGTTAGTTTTCATGCACACACACACATACATTATAACCTGCATTTTCCTGCACTTAAACTGCTCCTTGTACTGAAATAATTTTAAGAAAATATTCAGCAAACATATATATGCTTTTCTAAATATTTAAAACTGCATGATTAGAAATATTTTAGCACACTCAAATAAAACACTAGGTACACTAAGTGTATATTTGTTTGTGAATTTCATATACTACTGATAATTTCAACAACTCAAACATTTTTATTGAATGCAATCAAACTATTTTGCATTACTCTTACCAAAAAAACCATAGGTAAAATTGTGTTTCACTCAGACATGGCATGAATCTCACCATTACTTTTATCCTTCCATGAAAATTTACTACTGGCCAAATATTACTGTTTCAAAATTAAAACATTCTGTCACCAGTAATAATAAAAAATTACATTTACACTGTATCTCCATATAGATATGTAATAACAGTTAACATCATATCTTAAAATGTCAACATCCAAATTAAATCCTTTTTTTCCATTCACAAGTGTTATACAACACTCATGGATACTTGATGTAATGATTTTAGATGTGTGTGGAGCCACATACATGTACTTATTCAGAATGTATGTTGTTGTATATATTTATCTCCATTACACAAATTAATAACATTCAAGAAATTGCTTCTAGCTCTAAATCAAATTACTTCAATTACTTTGTAACCATTTTGGTTGCTTTCCAAAAACTATTGTTGATAACTATCATCTGGTATAGTACTGCTTTCTATGAATCCTCAAACTTGTGCAATTTTTTTCTTTTCATGCATCAAGAAAGAAATAATCACTGACCAAATTCAACTGAATTATGACTTTGAAGCTAAAATTCTCATAAGTCAAGTTTAACTATTCATGCTGTAGCATATTTCACTACATACTTAAATGAAACACAACTCCCTCATTGCATGTGAAGTTATACACCTTTTAAGTGTACTGGCAAAAAAAGAGCTAGTGAACATTATGTAGTATTCTCTCTGAAGCTTTTACTACTCAGCTAAATCAGGTGAGCAATTCTTGTGTTTCACATCAGAGAAATCACTTGGTAGCTTCAAAAGAAAGGATCACAGAGCCCTTTCAACTGTGTTTTCAAACTCCTAGTTATCATCTTCAGGTGAATAAAATGTTGATGCACTGGGCATTACATCTACTGGCACCAGCAATCCTAAACAATGTTAATTAAGCAGTTATAACCCAACATTCTATGGGTTTCTCTTACTGAAACTCTGCTCAATAGCTTGGAAAGTAGGGATCATGAAGCCCTTTTGTTCCTGTTAATCTTACAATCAATACACTGTCCTAACTTCAGATGATCAAGTGGTAAACATACAATAAAGAAAATATGCTGTACCTTACAATATCACCCGATAGATCAGAATGCGAGGGTTGCAAGATCCTTTCAACTGAATTTTTAAACTCCTAGCTTTCATTTGCAGTTGTAAAAACTGGACATGAACTAGGTTTATATATACTGGCATCAGCTCTCCCAGTTATATGGTAGTCAATTAGAAATCACACAATATATTGCATAGATTGTATGATGAACATCACTTGATAAGTTAGAAAGCAAGGATCACCACTTCCCTTTAATCACTGGGTGTTCAACCTAATGATTGCCTTACCTGCTGATGATCATGTTTAATCCCATCAATATCAATTAGGAGGCTGTAAGCAGCAGCTCACTGTGAACAGCTAAACAGCTACTCTTCCTATTTACCCAAATACTTGATTAAATATAGCAGTAAACCATACAAATTCAGCATCAGGTATTATACTGCTTCTCCCTGAATCTGTTCTAATCATACAGTGACCTTCTGAACTGATTAAAAAACTGGTCCATACCTTTCTTGGCTGCATCCTTAAATTTTGGGAGAGAAATCTGCTTAGCTTTAGTCACAGGTACTTATGAAGGCATCACAAGCCTCTCATGCAGACTCTTGGCCCACATAAGGTTGAGATATCCTGTATCTCCAGTGAAATAAGGGCTCTCAGAGACCCTGATCTATTGTTGCAGAACAATAAAGTGTATTAGGCAGCTCTTTCATTGGTTCTGCTTGGTCCCAAGCTCCTCTGTGGGTCATACTCACATCAACAGTATACATTCTAGCTCAAGGAGACTCACCAATGCCTCATGACTCACTCACTTCCTCATTAGCATCTGACATCTCACCTGCTGGTCAGATAGCTTTGGTTGGCAGACAATATTCAGTAATGGTATTCAAGTCTCTCTTCAGTGTTTTTGGGTGGCCTTGACCCGAGTCTTGCTGATGTAAGACTGGAAGTCCTATACAGATCACCCCACCTGCTTTCAGGCTCATCAGACCCCACACCACTGTGACAATTTCCAGTTATTGTTTCCCTCACATTGAGGTCGATCATGTAGGGGGTGCAACAGATTCTGATACTTCTTTCCGTGTCTATGGCAGCAACAAGAAAAAGCCATGGATGTACTTTTGCAACATTGGCAAAAGTCCTATATTCAGGAGTGGACTTCTCCTAGACCTGATAACTCTCACAAATATCCACTTTCCCTTGGTGACCAAGTCCCCCACTTGTTTATAAGTCCTTTGAGTTGTAAAAATGCCATTTCCTCAAACAAAAAGCCTTTTTAGACTTTATAACACAAGAGTTCAAATAAGGGGAAATATACACTTCAGCAGATATAGCAAACTTAGCAATAATGATATCCTGTGATTGTGACACCAAAATTTGTTTTACCTATCCACTCCATGGTATATTTGATAGGTCCACTAGATTTATTCTAGATATCGATTATGGAGTAATACTGAATCTATTACTAACTGAGTCAATGTAAAATGAAGTAACAAGACTAGACAAACAAAGCATCATACAAAATGAAAAATCTTTATCAGAACATTAAACACAAACACAGTGTGTATGTGGGTACTTGCTGTTATTTTGTTATTTACATGGGACAGTCACCTTCACTGGATCATAGGACATACTGAAGACCAAATTCCAAACTACATTAACTTAATGATGTTCTAGACTAGTCTGATCAAATACAACATTCCTTAGGAGGTAACAGGTATTATCCATTCCAAGAGAAACAAAGGAACAAAGGTACCTTATGACAAAATCAATTTAATGAAACTTGTACATATATAGAACAAAGAATAAATTCAAAATACATACTATAATATTACTAGAAGATAGAAATGCATAGTATATTCAAAGATCACATCATCAAGTTTCAAACAAGAACATTAATAGCTGCTCTATGTGGATACTGTAAAAGTCAATTCTAATAATAATTGAGAGGAGAAAACTAACATGTTTTCCAAGTTTGAAATCAACCACTGACTTCAGAATAAGTAAGCCAGCTAAAAGAAAGAAACTACTAAGATTACAGAAAAACTGTTAATCACTAAACAAGGACCCATATTAAATAACTGAGCATTGGCAACACCTCTATACTGAAATTGTAGGTCTGCTTGTTGAGTAAAAACGCTTTCATACTGGTAACTGGATGTCCCTAAAAGTGTCATGATATATAGCTGCTAATATACAAACATAAATAAACATGTCATTTGATAAAAAAAAATTTTTAAAGCATTGGTTGAGATTGTTCTTTTTATTTATCTTCAGTTGGGTTAAAAAATTAACTTTTTTCTTTTTCTAGAACTAATTACAAAAATGAATAAAAATGTATTTTCTTTGTTTGTAATTAAGCACAAAGCTACACAAAGTGCTATTTGTGCTCTGCCCACCACGGGTATCAAAACCCGGATTCTAGCATTGTAAGTCTGCAGACATACCGCTATGCCACTAGGAGTGAATAAAAATGTAACCATATCAGGACCAAATGTAACTAACTCATCTACATTATATTCCTCATTGTGCCAGAAAAACACGTAGGTTCAAAAAGTCTTGATACAAAATGATAAAAACCCTATAACCCAAGTGCTTTCGAAAGGTGGACCTTTCTTCTTCAATTTGCCTCTGAAGAAGAAAGGTCCATCATTTAAAAGCACCCTGGTTATAGGGTTTTTATCATTTTATATTCCTCACTTATTAGTGGTGGAAGCAAACATATGAACTAAGCATAATTTATATAAAGAAATATTTTTATTAATCTTAAAAGTATAAAATCTGCTTAGTAAACAAGGGTAGTACTAATTTTTGTTCCAGCAGAATCAGTTCAGTATTAAATAAAGAAGAAATGACATAAATCTCTTTGGTGTTAAAATATCCAATCCAAAACAAATAAGAATAATGCTTAAACTGAAAGTTGGTAATAAATACATTCACAAATTTTCAATGTGATCATTTCAAGAAAATTATCATTTGCTAGTGTTCAAAAACATAATTAATGCATACACTTATCTACAGCTAGCAAATAATATTATCATAATATAAAACACAGAAATATAAACTCCTTTGTTAAAGAACAAGATTCTATATTTCCAAAATTTATTCAAACTTGCAAAAACTTTGCTTTGGTAGTCTTTGTATCTTGAACAGTACTTGAAAAAAAATAAAAAGTAGTTAAAGGTTGTTTAGTATCATCACGACTTGGGTTTTAACTGCTGACTTAACAAAACAATTCTAACATTTTGATAAACAATATTAATCATATAGGCCATATACTTTCAAATGTAAGAGAACTGCATGTAGTTATAAATTTTATTTCTTCATCATGCAACCATTGCTCAACTACTGCAGAAATTTACCTCTTAAGAGCTGAGCAATAGTCACATAACAAATAACATATAAACAGCTTTGTAAAAGTAGTTTTACCATGATCATATAACTGAAACTCATTTCATTCATTTGGGTTACCTAAAATGGCCATGACTATGTTATCTCTTAGTATCTCAATAGTTCCTCTTGATATAAAATATAAAGCAGTTAAGACATCTCCTCGATGAACTAAAATATCTCCAGATGGTGCATGAGTTGTCTTGAACTTCATGGACAGTGCTCGAAGACAACCTGGACTTGCTCCTTGGAATGCTTGGGTATTTTCTAAAAGGATTCGATTTAAGTGAAGACAGATGTCTGCTTGTAGACATTCGGGAAACCCCTTTAACACCTGTAGAGGATATTTTACATGCATGTCATAAATAAAACACAGATACTTTCATTACAATAAAATCAATATTTCAAATGGGAAATCATCATTTATAGGAAAATTTTGTGTATACACACACACACACACACACAATTCTATGCATAATACTACATAAAATGTAAGGACAACAAGGAACCTGTTGGTTCATCTAGGCAACCCCATCCACTAAACTAATCTTTAAATTAAAAAAACACACTAAAAGACAGCTCTTATCATTAAAATATTTATAACATCTTCCCTCAAACTTTCTTAAACTAACTGCATCCACCACATCTGAAGACAACCCAATTAAGACCAACGACCCTGTTACAAAAAATAAAGTTATCTTAGTTGTAGATGACTCCTACCAAACTTTATATTTGTGCCCCCTAGTCCTAACATTCTCACTATTAAGTAAAAGAAAAAGAATGCATCAACACTATCAATATTCCCTTAACAATTCTTAAATGCCTCAAATAAGATCCCTTCTAGCACTTCTTGTTTCATGAGAAAACAATTTCAGAGATCTTAAACTGTCCTTGAATGACAACCCTTATATTCGAAGTACCATCCTAGTGCCCCTCCTCTAAACCCTTTCCAACACCTCAATGTCATTCCTAAGGTAAGAAACCCAAGACTGAACACAATACTCCACATATGGCCTAACCAATGATTTATATAATGAAGTTATAATCTCTTTAGACTTGTATTCAATATTTCTGTAAATAAAATCTAAAATCCTATTTGCCCTGCCACTAGCAACAGCATATTGCTTTGTGTGGCTTAAAAGATTGATAAACCAGAACACCAAGATCCTTTTCTTTCATAACTCTGTTAAGCTTATTCCTATCAATAATTCAAAGTGTGATATTTTACATATATTATCTTGAATTGATTATAATTAAAAGCCATCTGCCATTTATTCACTCAACTCACCAAATAATCCAAATCCTTTTGTTAGGCAGTAGTAGCAACCTCATTACAGTTAGCAACCCCCAAAAATTTAATTTCATCAGCAAATTTAAATAATCTATTGAACATTCCTTCATCTATGTCATTGATGTAAATCAAAAAGAGCCAAAGTCCTAACACTGACCCCTGAGGTACCCCACTTGTGACATTAATCCAGTTTAACTGAACTCTATAACAGCTCTCTGCTTTCTTACTTCCAGCCAGTTTTCTATCCAATGAGCCAGCCTATCCCCTACACCTACAAAGACAATTTTTAACAAGCCTTTTATGTGGCTCCTACTAGAGAGTGAACAATCCAATACTTGGTAAATTTTGCTTCACAATGGTTGGAAGAGCCAACACTGGAGAGTCAAATAATACAAGAATCTAGTATTCAAAGAATTTAAATATAGATTTATTTTTCATATGTTGTACATATACAAATGTCATTCACTTCTCTTAGTATTAAGAGTATACTTTCAAAAGTATGCCAAATAAACAAATAACAATTAAATGTTACAATTAATATAGAATATTCTACAACAACAATATTCTTATTCTAAGGATTTGAAATGCAATGAATATACTAACAAATAAATACAACAATGAAAACATTTTATTTTACAAGCTCTTGAAACCTAGTTATAGGACCATGAGGTATGATTGTGTGCTAAGCAAAAAAACTGAGTGAAAAAATCACATAAAAAATGAAAGTGGGAAGAGATCAGTTATGATTAGCATCAATGTGTAAAATGTAATGTGGCTGTTTGAGTGAGCTGGTTATAGCTATAATGCTGAAATTAAAATCAAGACAGACTGAAAATACAAACTGTGTTGACATCAATGCCGTTTGTGTAGGACCAAGCATGCTGGAAATACTCCTCTAATCTTTGTCTGAGTGGGTTGGGAATCTGATGGAACTTTATGAACTCCTTTACACGGAGCAGTTGAGTGTGGTAACGGGCTGTCCCTGAGTACAGCCGCTGAATGATTGCAGAGACGTTACCAAATATACTAGCATACATCAGAGCTGTTGAAAAAAACAAACAAATGATACATTTCATATTTCCTTATTTTGCTGCTTTTGACAAATATTTTAAAACTATCCAACATTTTGTATAATCAAGTTGATAATCTGTAATGTTATTGAAAGTAAACAGTAGTATTAATGGCAAACAAAATAGATTTTAATAATTATATCTAGTATTTATGTAGGATAATTAAATGGCAGTAAGCTATAGACAGGTGACCAATTAAAATCAGAGAAAGAATATGAAAAGGGATGATTTCAAACTAGGGTTGTAAAGCTAGTCAGCTAGCATCTCATTCCACCAATGTCAATGTTTTTTTTTCATATTTATATGAATTATCTTGAAAAATAATAAGCAGAATATATAGAAATTTTAAATAACTCTCAGAATCAATTCCCTAATAGTATTACTTAGGTTTGACCAACATAAAAATTCTACTTAGATATCTTTCTCTCACAGCCTAGTTCTTCCAAGTAGACTAGACATAATGACAGTATGATGCTAAATGTGTTGTATTTTGAACATTACTTACATTTATATCATGATCATAAATAATAGTTACAAAAATTACACATACTTGGAACTTAATATTTCATTTTTTACTTTAAATTTTGACAATTGATGGTTGTGTTAGTGTGGTAGCTTAAATTATTTTCTTTCCATGGCTCAGATTTGAACATAAGACCTCTTGTATGGCAGGAGAGTGCTCTACTAACTAAACTAAAGTGTTATCCCCTAGCGATTTATAGTAAAACACTTTCTAACAATTCAAACTACCACATTATTCCCCCTCTCACAGACAAGGTTCATCCTTGGGCCTTATCTCAGGGTCATGTGACAGCCCCACATTTTATGTCAGTTTCTATGTGTGATCATCTCTTTTTTACATTTCAAGGCTCAAATTTGAAACTAATTTGAGACATCTTCTACACCAAGTGTGTGCTATACCAATTGAGCTAAATGGCTAACCGCCATAACTGTTGCTAGTAAGGCACTTTTTTTTAATAACACAGACTCCCTCAGTAGATTATTAATTTGACTAGTTACATTTCTCTGCAAGTGTGTGTTTATTTGTTGGGGATTTCTAGAAAGGAAATTTTATTGGATACATATTGAAATATTATTCTATAGAAAGAACAATTATGTTTTATTGGAATGTGACATGCAAAAGGCCAATGATAATTCCAGAGAAAGTGATGAGTTTTAGTGACATTAAGTATCTTGTATCAATTTTTAGATAATGTGGTGAGTTTTTTACTCACATTTTAATGACATTAAGTATCTTGTATCAAACATCAGACAATGAGATGGGTTTTGTACTGACATTTTTGTGATATTAATTATCTTGTACTAACTTTTAGACAGTTTGATGATCTCTGTACCAACATTTTAGTGACTTAAGTATATTGTACTAATCTTTAGACAGTGAGGTGAGTTTGTACTGATATTTTAATTTAATCAAGTATCTTACATCAACTTTTAGATAATGAGATGAGTTTTGCATTGGCATTTTATTGACATAAGTATCTTACATCCAACTTAATACAGTGAGGTGGGTCTTGTACTGACATTTTAAGGATATTATGTATCTAGTATGAACCTTTAGATAGTGAGGATGAATCTAAGTTTCAAATGGACAGCAACTGCCTGTTGTAGAAACCTACAAATGTAGAGGATGATGTTTCGAAAGTCTTCTGCCTTTCATCCTCAGATCAATATGTATATGGTGTAGTTTAGTCTTTATAGTATTCTAGTGGATTGTGGAGAGCATGTTACAATTGGTTGGTTAAAATACATTTCTGATTGGAGGAGAGACTTCAACCAATGACAGCCACAGTTTACTCACCTCTAATCTTGAATCTCTGTCTAATGAAGGTTTTATTGTGTTAATGTAAAACAATTCTTTAATTTTTCTTGTCTTCCAAAATTTGTCTGTGTCAATGATTCTAGCTTTTTTTCCCAGTTTATGTTGTGTCCAGTTGACATGGTGTGTTCAGCAATAGCTGAATTTTGTGTTTTCATGAGTCTTGTGCTGTCTTTATGTTCTTTTATTCTTGTTGCGAGTCTTCTTCCCATTTCTCCAATGTATGTTTTGTTGCAGGAACACAGAATTTCGTAAATGATGTTTTTCTGTTTTTTGTTGGTAGTTTTCTGTTTGTTCTACACCAGAATGGATCTTAGTGTTTTGTAAGATTTCCACCGGACGTCTATGTTGAATGCCTTAGCTTTTTGTTTCAGTTTTTCACTGACATTTTTCAGGTATGGGAAGCATATGGTTGTAGTGGTAGTGGTTTCTTTATTTTTCTTTTCTGTTGTGGTCTTCTTCAGGGAGTTCTTGATGAAGGAAGAGGTGTAATCATTCTGTTTAAAACACTGTATGATGTTTTGGCATTCTGTTTCGGTGGATGTGTTATCGCAAATGTTTTCTGTTCTCTTGTTTAGGCACTGGAGTTTGATTCTGATATTTTAGTGATATTAAATATCTTTTACCAACTTTTAGACAGTTAGGTGAGTTCTATATTGATATTTTAGTGACATCATGTATCTTGTATGAACCTTTAGACTACTAACATTTTGTTTCTGAATTTAAAAAATAAAATAAAGTCATGTCTAGTCATCTAAGTTCAAAAGCAATTTGCTGATTTTTACTCACCATCAATAGGTATGACAGTCAATGTTAAATCCCAAATACTGCTCATTTGGGTTTGTGATAGATGTGGACCATATGATAAAATATTTTACTAAACTCTTGCCTAATACATCCTGATATTCTGAAGGAGAGAATTCACAAAATATATCAATAAGGCCAAACTAAACCAATGAAAAATATATTATTTTTTTCTACGACTCCTTCTTGCTGCTACAGAATAAATCAGAGTATGCCTACTGAATCTGACAATAATATGAATGAAGATGATTTTAAGTTTTCATTACTTTACATTTCAAGTAAATCATCATTTCCTATTCTACGTAAGTCACCAAATGCCAGAAGTCTATATTTTATAGTATTTACTGATATCATGGATATATTTTGGTATGACTAGAAGAGAGTGCTTGATGTGCCTCTTTAAAGTTGATTCTTATAGAACCAACACCATTTTCCACACAACTGGAAATTCAAATTTACAAAACTTCTTTCAGAAGCTTTATCCAATCCACAAACCTCTTAACCACACCCAACTAGCAGGAAACCTTTCATTAATGCAAAGAAAATATATTTCCAGCAAAATATCAGTGTCCTAGATTCAGAAGTCCCTCATGTCTCCGTGGAATCTGATGGCTGAAGAAACATTTTTAGTGAAAGAGATGTCAGTTTTTGGTAATCAATCCTCAATCAATCTTTCATCCATTCATTCACCAGCATTGATGAGTCTTGACACATGGAAATTGCAATTTCAAAACATTATTATTGTACCATAACTATCAAATGTATTTCCTGTTGTGACAAATAATGCAGCAATATGAAAGCTGTCTGGGAAATGTTGATGAATGATGGTCCTCATTTTCAGTGCAATGACTGTGACCTCACTGTACCATATCTAATTTCATAATGATTAGTAATTTTCTAGACAGTTGGCTAATTTTAAAGCAAAGAAAGATTCATTTGGTTACAAAAACATGTGGGATGCTATCCCATGCTATGCAATCTAAACATCTCTCTTCCAGTTAATGTGTTATAAAAGCCTGTTTTTTTCATGTATTTTACCCATTATGGCTGACTTTCTTCTCTCTATCTAAATAGAACTACACTCTAAAACAAAAACCAGCTGAAGTTATTTATATTTCTGAAGTTGGTACCATCTATCATAACCTTCAGAAACTGATAAAGAGAATTGAGAAAAACAAGAGAAACAGTGCAGTGAGGAATAAATGAAAATAGAGAATGATATTCGTGAGGGAGATGCAATAAGTCTGGCTTAAGTCAATGTCTTTCTAGATGTTAATTTTTTTAATGATGTTTTGTTAAGTATAAAAAACAAAAACAACTAGAAAGTCATTGAGAGTGAAACCCCCCAATTCACAATTATTTTTATACTTTTTGGGGTAACCAACCTAATGTATACACCAAACAATTCCTCACCCTCAAAATTGTAGGGCTAGTTGTCAAGATCTTCTTTCTATCTCAATTTATTTTTAAGATTTGGTTGTTGTTTTTTAAATTCCAATTTACTACATTATAAGAAACGTGCTTGACATACAGTTAGACCTTGGCCTCTGAACTACATTCATCAAATTCTAGGGAGGACACTCCACCATTGTACCAAATTTAATCAAAATCAGATGAGATATTTTTGAGTTATATTATTCACATGCAGTTATACAGGAGTGAAACAATACTCCCACTGTGGAACTACAATACATATAAAATATCTTACTGTGTTTATTACTCTATTTGAAGTTAAGATATAAACTAAAAAAAATAAAAACTTCAATTTCAAAATAACAAATTATGATCTGAGATCAATCCAGCAAAAAAAAATCAAGAATATCTCTTGAAACTTTAAAATGTATACTTGTAAAAATAATAATAACAAATTATGCTTTTAATGCTTCCTGATATTTCTCTGACCTTAAGACAAAAACTGAAATCCATGTAACCCAAATTAACTTTTAGTTTTGAAATTAACAACTAATGCCTGACCATACATGACAGTATTTGGCCATTATATAAGCAGCTATTTTTATTTTTTTGCTAGTCATATACCTAACCCTAATTTCAACACTGAAGGCTTTTATTTTTATTACTACAAGCCAAGCTTTGAAAGATTTTGATATGTAACACCATTAAGTAAAACTGCATATTAATTTTTTTCACATAAGAATAAAATTCTTCAAAAACAAACCAAACCTTTTAAATGCTTATATAGGTTTCACAGTTGAGTGTACAAGTCAAAATTGTTCTTTTTCATTCCAGATGATGAGACAAACTACAAGTTATTCATTTACTGTCTATTGAAATGTATTTGTAAAAATTTTCTTTAAAGCAAGTTTTGAGTAATTCTGATTAAAACAAGCTACTTCTCTGCTGTTGAGCCATTGATATGCAAATAACATTAGCAGCTACTTTTTTGACTCCCTCAATTTATATTATAAACACTAAAGATGCAAATTTTACATCCAATATGCTTAAATGAAACAGAAAAAGGGTGTAGTAATTAAATTAAATCATAATTAGAACACTAGAGGACAGCATGGCTTGGTGTTTAATACTTTGGATTTGTAATCAAAAGGTGGTGGGAGGGAAGCTTGCTAATTCCTAGTTGTTGTGTCCTTGACCAAGATACTTTAACCCCTACCTGTTTTAGTTTACCTGGCTGTAAACTAAGAGCTGATAGCTGGGATTAACCTATGATGAGCTAGCATCCAAGGCCCACTGGGGGGGGGGGGGGGGGGAGGTGGGGGCTCATGGGGCCAAAGTTCCAGGGACTGTGACCAAGGAGGGCTAGGTAGAATGGAAAATAAGAAAAAAGGAAAGGAGAGAGAAAGATACACATATTGGTACTATTTTATACTTGATAAAAAGGTTGCACCTTTCATCACATCTGACAATATAATTGAAGGAGATAATGCAGCATGCACCACACAACCAGAAGAACTGATCGACATAAATTTCTTTTCAATGTAAGGTTTTACATCTTACTGATATGTATTTCAATGTTAAGATTCTTATCAAAGTTGTTTTCATGTCTTTTGTGTTATGCCAACTTTAAATGTTAATGGTAATGGTGGTTATAGTAGTGAAGGTGGTGTGGGAAAGAGGCACAGGTAAAAACAATAGGGTCAGGCTTGGTAAAGTAAAATTTGAAAGTGAGAAAAATTGTACCAAAACTTTGGTTGATAGGAGACATATGGGAGGTGGGGGCTGGGGTGGCAACAGAGCCTAAAATTTCTCTGATGGGCCTTGCTGGATATCTGTACCTGGGAAATGTGTCACCATTCTCATCTGCTTGTGTGATATGCAGGCATATCATAAGTTTTCTACCTGCTTTTAGTAATATAGCAAATTATAGAAACTTTCCACTTGTCTAATTTCCATGCACACCAGTTTCCTTCTTTTAGTTGTTTCATTTCTTTGTTCTCTATGTCTGATATTAACTATTCTGTCTGGAGGGGGGGGGTATTGGGGTATACTTTGTTTTAATGTTAGAAGGGTCAACAACTGCAATGTCCTTTGCTAGCTAAGTGGATGATGTCTGTATGTTACAACCAATGAATGCTGTGAGAGAACAACAGTCATGTGGTAATGCTTTCACAAGAGAATGGACATGAGCTTTCTTTTAAAACCAAAGTTTTTCTTATTGTAACTAGTTCATCTGCAGAGATGGAAAGCTGATGACCTACTTAATAATCCTGTAGAAGTTGAGTGTCCACTTGTTTTTGCAAGTACACATACTGCATTTTCTTTTTGTTTGATTGTATTAAAGTTGTGTTAATTTCCTCAATCCGGTCTACTCTTTTTCTTTTTCACACAGAAAACTCAGTCAAATTTTCAGATTCAGATCACTCACAAATTCCTGGTCACTGTACTCTTATTAAAGGACCTGTCTAATACTGTTTGGAAATTAATTTTACCTGAAAGTACCACTAGTGGACAGGAAGAAGAAATGTTGGTGCCATAACAATAGGATTTATTGTGGAGTTCCTGTTTCTGTTAGCATGTTTACTAGACCTAGCTTGATCATTTGAGTTCAATAAGTTTAAAGGAATACTTCTTAATTGAGAATGGCATATTCATAAATCAGAAGTACTTATGATCAAGATGGAAAGTTTATTGCTGGAGAAAGATGGCTGCAGGGTAGATGTGCCAAGTAAAAAAAGAAGCCCTCTCATGGATGTAGGACACTCGCCTATGATGCGAAAGCTCATGAAATGCCCAGTCTGAAACCACAGACTTCGGATTTGCTCATATCTGAAAATCTAGACCACTGGAGCAAACCAATAGTTCTGAGAATTGATCTCAGTGGAAAGGAAGCAAGGATGACTGAGAGTCATTGAAGAGGACTGTGCCTGATGAGCCCTAAACCATGTGGAGACATCGTTACAGGACTCCTATACTGTTACCAGTCAGAGCACCAAGGCTGCAGCCCTGGTCCAGACCACCAACAACTAGTGGAGAACTGATAGATGTGTTGCTGGTGTATGACCTCTATCTGTCAGAATTGTTTCTTCAGTAGGTGAGACAATGAGCACCCATCAATGAAAACTGTAAACCATAGGGTGATGTTCCCTTCAGGACTGAAAGCCAAACAGATAATTGCCTGAAATGGGTGTCCAATGTTTGATCCTGAGTTTAAATGGCCTGGCTCTTGATGTTGTTGAACACCTGGACAAAGAACAGTAGAAAGAATGGGAGAGAGTTGTGAACAACCTACACTGTCAATTTGACCCAGTGAAGAACTGGGCAATGTATCAAGATTAGTTCTAGACTCAGAAGAAGATCACTGCTAAGGAACTAGTCACCTATGTGGATGATCTGCACCAACTGCATGGGAAGGCCTGCTAGGCAATGGCATTCACAGATTGGGAGGAGATTCTGGTTGATAAGCTCATTGAAGGAATACCCAATGAGCCCAAGTGACAACACCTGTATGAGAAACATCTTCATCCTAACTGATGCAATTCCTATAGTGACACAGTTTTAAGTGGTAACTTTGGGGCAGCCATTTGTCAAGCAGCAAAGATAGCAGAATTATCAGTTTCATCTGACAGTTAAGTAGATGTCAGCCAACCCACAATCTCAGTACTTCGCCATTGGATCACCAAGTCCAGGATAGCCAGCAACAAGAAGTGAATGCTGTGGGTTTGGTTTGTGGTTTGTTGTGAATTTCGCACAAAGCTACACAAGGGCTATCTGTGCTAGCTGTCCCTAATTTAGAAGTGAAAGACTTGAGGGAAGGCAGCTAGTCATTACTACACACCGCCAACTCTTGGGTTACCCTTTTACCAACGAACAGTAGGATTGATCATTGCTTTATAATGCCCCCACAGCTGAAAGGGCGAGCATGTTTGGTGGGATGGGGGATTCGAACCCGCGACTCTCAGATTGCGAGTCGAGCTCCCTAACCATCTGGATGCTATAGCTGTGGGAAGTACTCCATAAAATGAACAGTCCAAGAAGTGTTCATTGGTCAGACGAGTTGTCACAAGACTAAGTATGTGCCAGTGAGTATACAAGGGCAAGAGATTGAGTTTCTAGAAGACACAGAAATGGCAAGAATCCTTGTGGATTTCACAATCTTTCAAGTCTTTTGAAGAAACTACTACTATGGCCAAATACAAATTCGTTCTGGAAAATGGTGATAGTCTAGACGTTAAAGGAGAGGTATATCTCTTTCTATGCCTAGGAAGTAATGCCTGCAGATTGAAAAAAGTCATTTCTGACCTAAACTCTGGAATTGGCATCTTTGGAATGTGTATATTGCAGAGCTTGTCCATCAGCTTTGCCTTTGTAATGTGGCTATAAAAGCCACACCAGAAATGAACTGTTTTGTGTCCAGACAGCAGGCAGCATTAGCTCAGACAATTATCTGTCTAATAAGGGATGATATCCTGGGTTGCTTTGTAATTATGAGCAATCAGCTATCGAATGGAATGCTGGAATGGTCATAGGTATGGTAAGCAAAGTGGATGTAGTTGACTCTAGCAGAAACACTGGGGTTGGATCTGTCACACTGCAGCTGAAAGCAAATAAATGGCTGCTAAAATATCTGAGGTCGTTGGTTGAGGATTGTGCTAACAGCCTATATCCAATGCAGTGAAAGCAATTCAGTGACTTGTATTCATGCCAATGTATATGTGGAACTAAATAGTCAACTGGGTTGAACTAGGCTGACCTAACACCATATAGACATAGGCGATGTCCAATAAAGCAACAGATATGCTGTTTTCTCAGGAACACTATGGAAATTGCAAGTGTTGAAATAAAGCAGATGCTGCAGGATGGAGGCTATCTGGTTGTCTCAGTTAGGGATTGTTAGGCTCTGTGTTAATTTTAGATGGGAACATGATAACTGATATTGACACCTTTCCTTTACCACAAACATATAAATGTCTGGATGATTTAGAAGGTTTCATTGGTTCAACACCCTGAACATAGTGTCCAGATTCTGGTGATTTGAACTGGATATCAAAAGCTGGTCTAACACTGCTTTTAGCACAGTAGATGGCTTGTATGAATTCCATGTCATGCCATCCAGTCTGTGTTTTACACCAGCTACTTTCAAGTGGCTTATGGTTGTTACACTAAAGGCACTACACTGTGAGATACCAAGGCTATATTAACAATGTTTTGATGTTAGGAGGCACTTTCGAATCTGAGCCTGAGACCCTGACAATGGTATGCCAGTGAATATGAAGAGCAGGCTGGAAACTGAAACCAGAAAAGTTTTGTCCATGCAAACAGAGGTGGAGTTTCTCGATCAAATTATAAGTAATGAAAAATGTCGATAGACCCAGCTAAGATAGCTATGGCGAGAGATTGGTCTTGACCCATAATAATGTGGGACATTTGAAGTTTCCTTGATTTGGGTCATATTACTAATGATTAATAGCTAACTTCTCGGAGATAGTGGTACCACTGTTGGCTCTCACAAAAGTGGGAATGCACTTTGGATGGAGTGAGAAAGATGATCATGCATTCCAATCCCTAAAGCCTGTTTTAGTGGATGCTTCAGTGTTGGTCTATCCAAACCAAGACCATAATATTCTATTGGACAACAGTGCCAGCAGCAACAGAGTCAGGTCAGTGTTACCACACTTGCAAGATGTAGTAGAATGTGTAATAACATACACTAGTCACATGATCCTGGCTCATGAATGCAGATACTGTACAACGAATAAAGAACTGCTTGTGGTGATCCTCATTAATTTGTGTGTTAAAAAGTTCACTATTATGGTGGACAATGCTTCAATGAAGTAATTAGTAAATTTTTAAAATCTGGAAGGGAGAATGGAACACTAGATAACAACATTGCAAAATATGATTTGCCTGGGTTCACAAAATGGAATTACAGATGGACTATCTCACAAAATGGTGAGACCACGTTCATTCATAGAATGTCCTGACCTTGGACATTATATGGGAATTGAAACCACGACAATTTTTACCATATCAAATACATTTCTGAGGCAGAAGCCTCCACTAGCAGATGGATGGCAAAATTAATTCTTCAGGAGCTCCTGGATGAGCAACTGAAGGACCCTGACCTAGAGTGTGCGATCCTTGTTGGATAACAAGGTCAAGCCCAAGTAGTGGAGGAGCACACTATGGGTGCATATAACCTGGGCACCTGTATAATCAGTTAAAATTACAAAAAGATGTGCTGTTCCATTGCCATCAACCCATGAGATATGATTTTCCAACACTTCTGCAACTAGTGGTTCCCTGAGCTATGTGGCAAGAAATTCTCTTGACTTTGCATAACACAAAGAATGGAAGGCACCAAGATTTAACCCACACTTGCACTAACATTCGATGACAGTTCTTTTGGCCATAAGAGAGTTGAGATGTTCAAATCAGCAATTCAGCTATAAGCCAACAGCATGAAAGTAACTTGAATCTATTTTGATTGGTGTATACCTGATACCCTAACAAGTTGGTCCTCTAGCATACGGGTTACAGCAGATGCAAGGTACACACAAATTGCATCCATATGTCCCATAGAAATCTTTAGTGTTGTTGCTTGATCAGGAATTTCAAGAAGAGTCCGACAATAATAAGGACATTGTCTTGAGTCATACTGACTCACCCGATGAGGAAGAGAAGCTGAAGAGGCTTATTTGGGGTCTATGACAAACCAAATGAGGAATCACTAGATGTGGAAGTGACTACAAGCTCTGACTAATGGATGGGGCACTGATATTGGCCTCACAATATATAGGTGGGGCTAATTGATCAGCACTAGCTAAAAGTAATTAGTTTGAACAACAAGCTTTCCGAGATATGAGGTAGCAAAGTCTGACAGAGTGTAAAGGATTCATTTTGACCGGATACTGGATGTTGAAGTTGTGGCAGTTGCAATGATAGTTTTTTTTTTTTTAAAGATGGGTAGTTTCTATTCAGGTGGTTTGAAGAAGGTGCAGGTAGTAGTATTGTTGCTTGGTATTGCTTTCATGTTTTCTGCATGTTTCTTTCTTGTCATATGACTGCACAAAGTTGCTTTTCCCATGCTGCTGATGTCAAATGAACCTTGGCATAGTTTACATCTTGCTTTTTTAGGGTGTGAATCCATTTCTAATCGTTCATGGTAGTTTTGATTTGAAAACTAACTTGTTTTAAAATTACATTGGCTTGGCATTTTGCAAACCTGTGAGGAAATGGAAATAAAAATTTAATTCACAATACAAACAATGTTTATTTGATTATTTTATATTGGCCTTTTGACATTATATTCAGTACTGAAATATATTAAATTATTGTTACATCTCTGGTCATTGGTTAATTTTTCGTAGAACTTCTTTCCGAAGACCTTCAGCGATATAAGTCCTTTCTCAAATAAAACTAGTTTATTCTTTTTCAATTCAACTTTGCAATACACTTAATTTCCACAGTCC